AGATGCCGAGCTCTCATGCATGCCTGCGCCTCCTCGATCCACTCCCCCACACCAATACCTATGCGGCCTCTGAACAAGGGACATTCACGGTCTTTTGGAATAAAGACTAACCTCTCTGTAACAGGGGCGGTGGGAGGCGCAGGCACGGCGGAGGTCTCAGCACTGGAACTAATAGTGGCTGGTCGACGTTCATGACGCAGCTGCTCATTATCGGCTTTTAGTTGAGCGATCTGGTTAATTAAAAGACCTGAGTCCTAGCTAATAAAAATCATACACCACGCGCAGCAAGCAGCACAAGCACACCATCGAACACCGTACCCACCCAATCACACGCACTACACACTACACACGTTAAAAATTCAGGGCTGAGGCCTAACCGTGAGGGGAGAACTAAAAGGGGCGGAGAGCTAAAATAATGCAAAATAAACACCACAAACAAAATGTGCAAACCAAACCCAAACAGGAACCACCACCAGAGAAATCCACCACCACGGTGTCGGACCTTCAGCCCCTACAAAAACAAAAGCATGGTCACAATAGGCAGTGCAGGTGAACGGACAGTCAATCAAATAAAAAGACATCAATGCTTGAGGAGCATGGAAGGTGTAGTCTTTAAGGGTGTATTCAGACCTGAAAAGTCCTTTGCTCCGCTCGCTTGATCCGAATCAAAAGCGGACCAAACTTTTTTCTTTTGCTCCGGTTCGTATTCAGACTCCTTTTTGCAAGTGAACTTTTTTATATAAACATATTGACACGTGTGACGATCGGCGCTCCTATTGGACAGCGAGAGCTCACGGAGGATAGACGCGGAACCGGCAGAAAACATTGAGGGCTTGTATGTGCAGCATGTCTGCTCTGCCTATGTTTGTTCTTTTTAGACCAAAACCACCTTCAACATCAACAGCAGCTCATATGACACAGGCGAAACACGTTGTTTTAAATATTGGAACAGCGTCGGAGAATGCGTGAGGAGAAAGCCGAAGGAGACTGTCTGCGCTCCGTGTCCTGTCCCACACATGGATCTATAATAACCCTGTTCCACAACTTACTGACAGCAGCATTGTGAATAAACCATGGATCTATAATAACCACGGGACAAACAGACGCTGAGGATCAGGTAGGAACCAAAGAACACAATTCACTACATGATGCGGAATATTGCTCTTTGAGACGTGAGTCAAACAGTGTCAGGCTTTTAATAATGCAAATGGTTTGAAGATGCTGCCATTAACATCAATGTATACTGTGAACAGTTCTAACTCCATAAGCCTGTTGCAGCGTCTCCTCACTGCTCCAGGTCTGCACACGGCTCAGTGTTGTGTAGCGTTAGCAGCATAGTTAGCAGCATAGTTAGCAGCATAGTTAGCAGCATAGTTAGCAGCATAGTTAGCAGCATAGTTAGCAGCTGCATGGCTAATTCCTCAGTTTCTGTCTGCGGCTTGTTAAGCCCAAAAAATGCGCACGTATCTTGGAGTTGTCGGATCGACACCGGATGTATTCAGACCTGATTCGACCGAGACCACCTCAAAAAGTGGGTCTCGGTTCGGTTCGGACCAGGATTTGTTTGTGTGTATTCAGACCTGCATAAAAGATTCGGATCAGAGTTCCAAACGAATCCTGGTTCGTTTAAAGTGGAGCAAATGTGCAGGTCTGAATACACCCTAAGTCTCTCGTGTCAACGTCTCTGGTTGTAGTGCTGGGATATGCGGGCCCTGGGTGTTGCGAGCGAAGTAGGGTGGGCTACACCAATCTCCAAACTTCAACAGGGGCGCGGGCAGCCCCAGCAGAGAGCAGACAGCCCCAGCAGAGAGCAGCAGACAGCCCCAGCAGAGAGCAGCAGACAGCCCCAGCAGAGAGCAGCAGACAGCCCCAGCGGAGAGCAGCAGACAGCCCCAGCAGAGAGCAGCAGACAGCCCCAGCAGAGAGCAGCAGACAGCCCCAGCAGAGAGCAGCAGACAGCCCCAGCAGAGAGCAGCAGACAGCCCCAGCAGAGAGCAGCAGACAGCCCCAGCAGAGAGCAGCAGACAGCCCCAGCAGAGAGCAGCAGACAGCCCCAGCAGAGAGCAGCAGACAGCCCCAGCAGAGAGCAGCAGACAGCCCCAGCAGAGAGCAGCAGACAGCCCCAGCAGAGAGCAGCAGACAGCCCCAGCAGAGAGCAGCAGACAGCCCCAGCAGAGAGCAGCAGACAGCCCCAGCAGAGAGCAGCAGACAGCCCCAGCAGAGAGCAGCAGACAGCCCCAGCAGAGAGCAGCAGACAGCCCCAGCAGAGAGCAGCAGACAGCCCCAGCAGAGAGCAGCAGACAGCCCCAGCAGAGAGCAGCAGACAGCCCCAGCAGAGAGCAGCAGACAGCCCCAGCAGAGAGCAGCAGACAGCCCCAGCAGAGAGCAGCAGACAGCCCCAGCAGAGAGCAGCAGACAGCCCCAGCAGAGAGCAGCAGACAGCCCCAGCAGAGAGCAGCAGACAGCCCCAGCAGAGAGCAGCAGACAGCCCCAGCAGAGAGCAGCAGACAGCCCCAGCAGAGAGCAGCAGACAGCCCCAGCAGAGAGCAGCAGACAGCCCCAGCAGAGAGCAGCAGACAGCCCCAGCAGAGAGCAGCAGACAGCCCCAGCAGAGAGCAGCAGACAGCCCCAGCAGAGAGCAGCAGACAGCCCCAGCAGAGAGCAGCAGACAGCCCCAGCAGAGAGCAGCAGACAGCCCCAGCAGAGAGCAGCAGACAGCCCCAGCAGAGAGCAGCAGACAGCCCCAGCAGAGAGCAGCAGACAGCCCCAGCAGAGAGCAGCAGACAGCCCCAGCAGAGAGCAGCAGACAGCCCCAGCAGAGAGCAGCAGACAGCCCCAGCAGAGAGCAGCAGACAGCCCCAGCAGAGAGCAGCAGACAGCCCCAGCAGAGAGCAGACAGCCCCAGCAGAGAGCAGACAGCCCCAGCAGAGAGCAGACAGCCCCAGCAGAGAGCAGACAGCCCCAGCAGAGAGCAGACAGCCCCAGCAGAGAGCAGACAGCCCCAGCAGAGAGCAGACAGCCCCAGCAGAGAGCAGACAGCCCCAGCAGAGAGCAGACAGCCCCAGCAGAGAGCAGACAGCCCCAGCAGAGAGCAGACAGCCCCAGCAGAGAGCAGACAGCCCCAGCAGAGAGCAGACAGCCCCAGCAGAGAGCAGACAGCCCCAGCAGAGAGCAGGCAGCCCCAGCAGAGAGCAGACAGCCCTAGCAGAGAGCAGACAGCCCCAAGTATGCCTGTTTAATGTGTGCTAGGATAACAATATGTAAATGTATGTGTCTACATGCATAAGCGGAGGCACATACATTTACATATTGTTATCCTAGCACACATTAAACAGGCATACTTACAACTAGAGCAGCAGCTCCAATGAGGGAGAGGACAAGGGTGTGAACGATTGAGCCTAAACAAACACAATGCTAAGAGCGTGTTCGTAGAGTGTTTGTGGAACAGGAGCGCTTACCGTTACTTAGACACAGAGGCGTGTAGATCAGCGCATTGTGTGCGTGGCTTCAAGACAGTGACGTTCAGCCTAAATATTAGATGCAGGATTAACAACTGTCCATTTTAGAAGCTAACAGTGAATCAACTGGGATTACCTGCTGCGAGGTGTCAGACAGCACACGGAAATGCACGCCGGTGGGCGGGGCCAAAGCAAGAGGCCAGAGGTAGAAGAGCAATCACAGCAGTGCTTTTATGGGCTGACGGCCAGCACAAGCGGCCAATTGGAACTCACCCTCGTCCACACCCCGTACTGCCACACTTGCACCTGAAAATACACTTTAAACATGGATTAGCAGCAGTAGCTCGGGTGGTAGAGCATGTGTCCTCTGAGGTGAAGGTTTGAATCCCATCGGTGAAGGCTGCAGTGTGTCTTTGTATCTTTGCTTTGAGTGCCTTGAAAAGGTAGAAAAGCGTTCTATATCTGTGATCATTTACCATTAATTAAACGGATAGATGCTTATATCTGGAGCTTAACACAAAATCCTTCTGGGACATGGAGACAGAATGTTTGTGTGAAAACCAACAAATCACATTTGTAGAATTGGAGAAAAGGTCTTTCTTCCTTTTATGATGAATAATAATAATATGATATCATGAGTGTCTGATGAGGTGGAGCTTGTGGTGCTGTTGGGGCTTGTTGTGGTCTGGTCTGACTGCCCTCTGTGTGGTCTGCTGGGACTGGTCTGGGACACATCTTATCGGACTCGTCACTGAGGACCACGACACAGAGTACAGAGGACAAACACTAGACTTTGTGGACTGGTGTCAGGAAAATCACTTCTTCATCGACGCGAGGAAGACTGAGGAGATGGTGGATTTCTGCAGACATTACTCTGCTGCTCCAGCCCCAGGGAACATCCAAGGAAGAGACATTGAGAGAGTGGACTCTGGGTGTTCATCTGAACCAAAAACTGTGTCGTTTGTCTGCTCAGATAATTCACGTCAGTTCTCTGGTGCTAAAGTACAAGACCAACAATCTGTAAATACCTCATGACTGCTGTGTACTGTACAGTATACTCCACAAGTGTACTTTGACCCAACTGTAAATATAGCTTCAGAGTTTATTAGCTTATTATCTACATATTAAATAATAGATCTGTGATGTGTGAATAACCTGAGTGCTCTTATTTCTCCTTTTAGTATACTGTATGTGTGTAACTATGACATTAAAATGTACCCACAGAGGGACAAATAAAGGTTTATCTTATCTTATGAATCCTAGTCAGAACATGACCTTTCTGAGTGGAGTTAGCATGCTCTCCTCGTGTCTGCGTAGGTTTCCTCCAGGTGCTCCAGTTTCCCCTACCACTAAAAACATGAACAATTAGCAAAATCCTTCAGCTTTGGACTTGAACAAGAGTGTCTATCTTTTTTCTCATGATGTGATTGATTTCAGTGTTTGCCCTCAAGCAATTCACATGTCGAGATCTTTTGGTATAATGTGGTTTCCATGTTCACAAACTGACCCATGTGTGTGTTTGTGTGTGTGTGTGTTTTGTAGAGGTGCTGATGGACTCCACCACAGCTACGGCAGAGCTGGGCTGGACCATCTTCCCTTCTCAGGGGGTGAGTGACACACACGGCCTAGAACACGTTGTCCCGTAGAACAGCACAAGCTCTGGGCTAGTGACCCCAATGACTGCCACACCCTCGCTCATGCTCACTGCTGATGGAGATCTATGAAACACATGCAGCAACAGCACAAACAAATCCAACAATAACTTCTCTTCTCTCCAGGCTGCATGCTGTCAAGGTCACCGTCATATTCTGTTATATAAAGTCTGTTTGTAAAGGACATTTGTATTGTTTGTGGATTGTTTGTGTTTTACATGCAGTGACTTTCAATGCAAAGTCAATGGTGACGCGCATTCGTGCGTCAAAACGCACGAACCGCGCTGGGAAGTCAAAGGGGATGAACGCAGGAGATGGATTTTGCTCAACCTTTCCTCGGGACGTTTGTGCAGCAACCAATCAGAGAGTCGCAAAGTGGTCACAGGGATATTTGCGGACTGAACGAGCAGACTGAAAATACTCATAAACAGCCAAAACAAGAGCCACATCAGGACTAAACCAGGGTTGACAATGTGGGACATAGTGCTTGTTAAAGTTGCACTAACTGACTTTATTTTCGTATTAATTACGAAAATGCTATCCATGTCCATGCAGTGCATTGGGATATACGTCCTCTTGAAGAAAAAGTAGCGCAGATTTGTGCTGGCGTGACATTATATTTTAGATCGAGTTTTGATGAAACAAGGAAGAGAATGTGTTTCGGGTCGCAGATTGTGACCAATCACAGCGGACCACTGGCCCCCACTTTCGTGAGAAATCTACAGGTCCGTTAGCATAGACGGCAGAGTTAGCACAACAAGCAGTGGAGCTAACCTGAAGCTTCCTCGTCTTCGTCACCGGTTTCTGCTTACACAGCGAAACAGCCATCCAAAAGAAAGTCCCGTTCCTCCGCGCTTCCCGGTTCTATCGTTCTATGGTCACGCCATCCACGTGCAAATCCATATCCATGTATTATTCATATTGGGAGACGCTAGCTCCGTCAACAACAGGGGGTGTATGTGGGGGGCGATAGCTTCGTGGGTGCGGGGAGGGGAGCAGAAAGAGCGAGGCCAGAGAGTCCGCGGCTTCAAAATCCCAAAGTCAGTTAGTGCAGCTTTAACATGTGAGTTGTCATGCTCCAGTGACTTTATGCAACTGTTCGAGCGTGTTCGCCGATGCGGAAGTACCGTTTAATAATGAAATAAATGTATTGCGCACCTCCTTGAACACATACTACTGTTATATAAAGTCCGTGGAAGGTCTCTGAACACAGACACCCTGCAAAGCTGGGGCAATTCCGGCGCGCGCCAGGACCTCTGGTTTGAAGACCCCTGCGTCTGAAAACCAGAGAACGTGCGTTTCAGCGTTGCCGGTCTGAAAGCACCGTTATACATGTGCAGTAAACCGTGAGAAATATTCTATTGTGCTGCCGACAAAATACCAAGATTTAAAGATAGTGCTGTTATGATATTGTTGGACTATACACGCGGTCCAAGCACACACATACACAAAGAAATCTGCAAAACACCTGAATTGAATGAAGGACACCTGAATTTCTTCTACGGGGATCAATAAAGTCTCTATCTCTATATATTATATAGTATGTGACAGAAATCCAGTTTTTGCCAACCTCTATTGGGCCATGGTAGTGACAGACATCATGTTCCGTGAAATATATGGGGAAAGACAATCCCAGGACTCTGTGAGTCCCAGGACTGATGCCTGCATCAGGATTCTTACCACCAAAAAAGTGCAACAGAGACCCAAGATGTCGACCTATTCAGATCTATGGACTGTGCCCCATGGTCTCACCATGGAGGTCCACATGGAAGTGACACATTTCAGCCTCTGCTCCCACTCGGTGCAGCATTTGTGGTACTTCAGGTCGAGACCAATCAGAGCAGAGGAACACATGAGCGTTCTGACCAATCAGAGCAGAGGAACACATGAGCGTTCTGACCAATCAGAGCAGAGGAACACATGAGCATTCTAACCAATCAGAGCGGACAAGAGTGAGCTGAATTTGTTGCATAAGTGTGGATTTACTTTATGGAAACCAGATGGATTTGGATAAAGAGGACAAGCTGTTTGTGTCACATTGAGGTCTGTGGGGAAATTTCCTGTGTTGCCTTGTTGAATCTCACCCACTGTGTGGGGTCCGGCTTAAGCAGCAACACCCTCCAGATAAGTAATCACTTCATGGTGACAGGTGGGATGGAAGACTAAAATAAATGTACTGTAAATCTTTCATAAGCTTGTTCTTCCACAAAGTCCCCTTCAAGGCTGATAAAACACGTAACATCAATCCATCCATTTTCTTCCGCTTCATCCGTTGCCGGGTTGTGGGGGCAGCAGTATAAGCAGAGATGCCCAGGGGTCTTCCCCGGGGCCTCCTCCCGGGGGGACGTGCCCGGAACACCTCCCCAGGGAGGCGTCCAGGAGGCATCGGGACAGATTCCCGAGCCACCTCAACTGGTTCCTCTCGACGTGAAGACGCAGCGTCTCTACTCCGAGCTCCCCCCGAATAACTGAGCTCCTCACTCTATCTCTAAGGGAGCACACATAACACATAAAATTAAATCATGCACTGACCCCTGCTTCTTCAGAAACTACTGTTTCTGCTTCTGGCCCCTGAGGACCTGTGTAGTGCTGTTGGAAGCTCCGTCTGAAGCTCACAAAGGCCCCTCACCTCCTGTGTTCAGCCTTGACCTCCGCTCTGGGACGTCCACCCTCTGTTACGGAGCCGAGTGCCAGACCTAAAAATTATTTCTAAGTGAACTCTCAAATATTCATTAGAATTCCACAAAGCTCTCAGCTCGAGCAGCACGGCTAAAAGCAGAGATGTCATGTGGGGTGTTTGAGCGGGCTTCGGGTGCAGCTCTTTTTTTTAATCCTCTTTTGATCTTGTCTCATATCACATATAGACATGGAGTTAAGTTAACCACTAATATCTCATCAAGTGTGTGTGTGTGTTTGTATGCGTGAGTGTATGTATGTGCGTGTTTGCGTGTCACAAGCCACAACACACTGATTGGTAAAACGATTACATAATTATGAGTTTCTGAGAGACATGTTTGTTTATAGGAGGAATTCCCAAATTTTAGGAAAGAACCGCCCTCTCCACTTTTTGAGCATAACTCTCTGGTCTTATTGGACGAGCACGTATCACCAGATTGCTTGACAATTGGAGGATCAATAGTCTTGAAGATCCACCCGGAAGTAGAAAATCCTCCTATATACCTTTAAAGCCACCCTGTGTAATTTTTACAGCTGCTCCATATGAAAAAACATGTTAACTAATAACAAATGTGACCTTTTTAAGAATATTTACCTCCACCATGTTTTTTGAATTGTATTCATAGGCTTAGAATTAACTTACAAGTGTCCATGAGAGCTGGGGACTATCCATGTCAATGCGCCATCTTGGAAAACAGCGGTGGATAAAGGACAAAAAGGATGCGAGAATCACGTTTTCGTTTCACATGAGCTACTGATATTGTTGCTTTCACCGTGCCTTCACAAGTTGGAAGAAGGAACCATGGAGGACCACAGTTATATAAAAGAACCATGGAGGACCACAGTTATATAAAAGAACCATGGAGGACCACAGTTATATAAAAGAACCATGGAGGACCAGTTATGTAAAAGAACGATCCAAACAACAATCTTTTAGAAAAGTAATTATGCGAAAGTCCAGCGTCATAGCAGCAAAGTGTCAACATCACGAACCAGACGCACAAACACAGCGTTAACACAACAGGAGGCACATTGTGTAGTATGTACACAACTAGGGATGTAAATCGGTGACCGTTTAACCGGTGGTTGACCATCACAGCGTTAACCGGTCAAAGCTGTCGGTTAAAAATAAGAAAAGTGGGAGAGGGGACGTCTCTTAATAACGCTATTTAAGCCCTATTTGCACTGTGTGACGAGCGGGTCTGTCTCTAGCTGTGTGCGCCAATGTATTAGTAAACTACGGGCCGACTTTAACAATTGTAAACCGCTTTGAGAATAAGATCTGCAGTGAAAAGGCGGTATATAAATAAAGATTACTTACTTACTTTCATGTCGCACGCTCCACATATGCACGCAGCCACGCATACATGCACATGCATTTTTGGCGCCGGTTTTTGGCGCCGGGTTTTGGCGCCGCTGTCTCGGCTCTGATCCAGTAGAACGCTCAGCTGCACTTATGGAAAGTACGCGGCTCGAAATGGCTGTTACAAAGAACGTGAAATATTTTAAACTTTGCGATTAATCGGTTTCAACCGGTTAATGAGGCTCGGTGGTCGGTCATGAAAAGTCATAGTTTTTTACATCCCTATACACAACAGACTCACACGTGAACAATAGTAACTTTTTCACATTGACAATAATGAGAACGAGGCAGAATCTGCAACAGTCTCAGGATGTTCTGATCCGAGCGCAGTCCAAACTGCTATGTCACAAGTTTCAACTAAACTTATTCAGGGAAAGAACCTCAAATAAAAACACACATAATCCCCAGAATACTTCATCAGCAGAGTGTGTGAATGTTCTGTTTTTCTTGCCGTGATGCAGATAGGGCGTTGTGGCTAACGCTAATGCTAACATGAGCTTAGCCTTGTCCTGCCGTGACTGTGTATATCTCCTGCTTCTTTGATCATCGTAGTTTTAAGCTCCTACACACGTTATTCCTCCATGTGTCTCTTCTCTTCACACTGTGTTTGTAAAACTATATATTATAATAGATCCATGGTAAAACTCAGTAGAGCCTCTGTGCAGGGTGGCGCGTCCAGTCATTTATCAAACTAAAGTATTCTTTCTTTGGCAGTTTGGTGAATGAGAGTTGACGAGCACTGTCAAACAGTATAGGCAACAGTGCTCCTCAACTCAAAGGCACCCGCACAATATTGCACTGCAATATAAGATCTCAACGCTAGATGGCACTAAAAATTACACAGTGTACCTTTAAGTTCCTGATATTAGCATGGATGTATCTAAACACGTCCCCTTGTCCGTCACATGGTTAAACGTGTGTATGTCTGCAGTGGGAGGAGGTGAGCGGCTACGACGAGAACATGAGCACCATCCGCACGTACCAGGTGTGTAACGTGTTTGAGAGCAGCCAGAACAACTGGATCCGCACCCGATTCATCCGCCGCAGCGGGGCCCAGCGCATCCACGTCCAGGTCAAGTTCTCCGTCCGGGACTGCAGCTCCATCCCCAACGTCCCGGGCTCCTGCAAAGAGACCTTCAACCTGTACTACCACGAGGCCGAGGCAGACACGGCCACGCCCACCTCCCCCGCCTGGATGGAGAACCCCTGGGTGAAGGTGGACACCATCGCAGCTGACGAGAGCTTCTCGCAGGTACAGAGGGAGAGGAGCACAGGTACAGAGGGGACGAGCAGAGGTAAAGAGTGAGACGGGCACAGGTACAGAGGAAGACAAGCACAGGTACAGAGGGAGATGATCACATTTACAGAGGGAGATGAGCACAGGTACAGAGGAAGAAAAAGCACAGGTACACAGGGAGATGATCACATTTACAGAGGGAGATGAGCACAGGTACAGAGGAAGAAAAAGCACAGGTACAGAGGGAGATGAGCACAGGTACAGAGGGAGACGAGCACATGTACAGAGGGAGACAAGCACAGGTACAGAGAAAGACAAGCACAGGTACAGAGGGAGACGAGCAGAGGTACAGAGGGATGAGCACGGGTACAGAGGGAGACAAGCACAGGTACAGAGGAAGACGAGCACAGGGACAGAGGGAGATGAGCAGAGGTACAGAGAGAGGAGCACAGGTGCAGAGGAAAATGAGCACAGGTACAGAGGTAGACAAGCACAGGTACGGAGGGAAGACAAGCACAGGTACAGAAGAGGACGAGCACAGGTACAGAGGGAGATGAGCACAGGTACAGAGAGAGACGAGCACAGGTACATAGGGAGACAAGCACAGATACAGAGGTAGACAAGCACAGGTACAGAGGGAGACGATCACAGGTATAGAAGGAGACAAGCACAGGTACAGAGGGACATGAGCACAGGTATACAGTAGAGCGAGACAAGCACAGGTACAGAGGGATAAGCACAGGTAAAGAGGGAGACGAGTACAGGTACAGAGGAAGATGAGCACAGGTACAGAGGGAGACGAGCACAGGTACAGAGGGAGACGAGCACAGGTACATAGGGAGACAAGCACAGATACAGAGGTAGACAAGCACAGGTACAGAGGGAGACGATCACAGGTATAGAAGGAGACGAGCACAGGTACAGAGGGACATGAGCACAGGTATACAGTAGAGCGAGACAAGCACAGGTACAGAGGGATAAGCACAGGTAAAGAGGGAGACGAGTACAGGTACAGAGGAAGATGAGCACAGGTACAGAGGGAGACGAGCACAGGTACAGAGGGAGACAAGCACAGATACAGAGGGAGACAAGCACAGGTACAGAGGGATGAGAACAGGTACAGAGGGAGATGGGCACAGGTACGGAGGGGGACACATGCTTCTCAACACGTCGCTCTCTGTGTTTCGAGATAATTAGACAGTGGAAATACTTGTGGAGTTTAGTCTGTTAAGCTGTTTCCCAACCACAATACAAGTGCACATTGTTATCACAGACTTCTGGTGGTGTCCTCATTGTGGCTTCCTCTGCAGGTGGAACTGGGTGGCCGCATCATGAAGATCAACAGTGAGGTGCGCAGCTTTGGCCCGGTCTCCAAGACGGGCTTTTACCTGGCCTTCCAGGACTACGGCGCCTGCATGTCCATCATCGCAGTCAGGGTCTTCTATCGCAAGTGTCCGCGCGTGGTGATGAATGGTGCTGTGTTCTCTGAGACCCTGTCCGGGGCTGAGAGCGCCTCCCTGGTGGCTGCACGTGGGGTCTGTGTGCCCAACGGAGAGGAGGTGGACGTGCCCATCAAGCTCTATTGCAATGGGGACGGGGAGTGGATGGTGCCCATCGGCAGGTGCATGTGCAAGGCGGGCTACGAGGCGTCAGCTAACGGGACAGAGTGCACAGGTATAAGAGCAACCATCACATCTGTACAGCCATACTGTACTTGGCCCTAATCAACTCCACTCTATTCTATCCTACTCTACTCTACTCTGCTCTACTCTACTCTGTTTAACCGGTACCAGGTCCTTCTTTAGTCCCTCTTGGCCCTGGTTCTCTCTAGGCCGATCTGGTTCTTAAGTCTTAGATTGGCCCACACATTCAGCTGATGATCCGTGTGTTTTTCCCTTTGTTGCAGCGTGTCCCACCGGCTCCTTCAAACCTGCTCAGGGGGACCACAGCTGCATACCCTGCCCCCACAACAGCCGCACCAGCAGCCAGAGCGCCACCACGTGTATGTGCCGGTCAGGGTACTACCGCACAGATGCCGAAGGACCGGAGAGCCGCTGCACCAGTACGACACACAAACTAACACACTTTATCATTGTTACAATGCCTTGCGAAAGTATTCGGCCCCCTTGAACCTTTCAACATTTCGCCACATTTCAGGCTTCAAACATAAAGATATAAAAATTAATTTTTTTGTCAAGAATTAACAACAAGTGGGACACAATGGTGAAGTGGAACGAGATTTATTGGATAATTGAAACTTTTTGAACAAATAAAAAACTGAAAAGTGGGGCGTGCAATATTATTCGGCCCAGGACCATTTTCCAGAATGGTCCTGTATTTGGCTCCATCCATCTTCCCATCAATTTTAGCCATCTTCCCTGTCCCTGCTGAAGAAAAGCAGGCCTAAAGCATGATGCTGCCACCACCATGTTTGACAGTGGGGATGGTGTGTTCAGGGTGATGAGCTGTGTTGCTTTTACGCCAAACATATCGTTTTGCATTGTGGCCAAAAAGTCCGATTTTGGTTTCATCTGACCAGAGCACCTTCTTCCACATGTTTGGTGTGTCTCCCAGGTGGCTTGTGGCAAACTTTAAACAAGACTTTTTATGGATATCTTTGAGAAATGGCTTTCTTCTTACCACTCTTCCATAAAGGCCAGATTTGTGCAGTGCACGACTGATTGTTGTCCTATGGACAGACTCTCCCACCTCAGCTGTAGTTATCTGCAGTTCATCCAGAGTGATCATGGGCCTCTTGGCTACATCTCTGATCAGTCTTCTCCTTGTTTGAGATGACAGTTTGGAGGGACGGCCGGGTCTTGGTAGATTTGCAGTGGTCTGATACTCCTTCCATTTCAATATAATTGCTTGCACAGTGCTCCTTGAGATGTTTAAAGCTTGGGAAATCTTTTTGTATCCAAATCCGGCTTTAAACTTCTCCACAACAGTATCTCGGACCTGCCTGGTGTGTTCCTTTGTCTTCATGGTTCTCTCTGCGCTTTAAACAGAACCCTGAGACTATCAAAGAGCAGGTGCATTTATACGGAGACTTGATTACACACAAGTGCATTCTATTTATCATCATCAGTCATTTAGGACAACATTGGATCATTCAAAGATCCTCACTGAACTTCTGGAGTGAGTTTGCTGCACTGAAAGTACCGAATAATATTGCACGCCCCACTTTTCAGTTTTTTATTTGTTAAAAAAGTTTAAATTATCCAATAAATTTCGTTCCACTTCACGATTGTGTCCCACTTGTTGTTGATTCATGAGAAAACATGTTTTTTTTAATATCTTTATGTTTGAAGCCTGAAATGTGGCGAAATGTTGAAAGGTTCAAGGGGGCCGAATACTTTCAAAAGGCACTGTATTTGGGACAGATACAGAAAACATAGAAAAACTGTCATACAGTAGTCTGTTGCATACACCATGGTATTTATAGCCAAAGCTAAATTGCAGCACTTTTGACATAATAGAATTTGACATACTGTGATGGTACTTTTTCACATACGCACCGCTGGGTCGGAAGAGGCATTTTTAGAGGTTTTTAACTCCAAGCTCCCAGTAGAACAACAGTGGGAAATGTATAAGAATGTATGTACAGAGCAGAGTGAAAAGTCTACCGGCAAAATAGATAGTTTGAGATATTTACAACAAAGAGATGCATAACTCTCGCTCCTGTAGTCTACGCTACCTTTTCGCTACCGTGTCGACTGCCATAGGGAAGACAAGTACATCTTAACCCTCTATGCCCATGGGTCATTTTGGGGAACTTTCCTCGCCTGGTTTTCTTTGTGTATAATGGTTCATAAAACAGTCATCTTTTGATGCAGAGTCAAGCAGTATACTTTGTTTTTTTCAGTACAACCTGGGGTTTTAGAATATTCATATTGTAAAGCTGTCATATGAATTATATAAAAATGATGGAATCATAAAGACAAAGAAAAAAATCAAACGGAAAATCAATTTAACAAAAATGTATTGAAAAAACACAATGAAATGCTATAAACAACTTTTTACACTGCATAGAAATGTTATTTATGGTCTTGGGGATAATGGGGGAAAAAATTGAATCTCTAACTATTATACTTTTTACAAAATTCCACTATAAAAGCAAAAAACTCTGTACTCCTGATGCCCTTCTTGAAGCAGTTTGTCTATAATGCTGGGGTTGCTTCTGTAGTACAGCTGTAAAAAACGTAAAACATAAAAAACTGAGCCAAAAAAAAATAAAATACATCAATTATTTATTTAATACATATATTTATATACATCATATACACATAATGTCATTTTACTGTATTTATTATCGTCTTTATCAATAATGCGCACTCTTCAGCCGGTTTTTGCAATCGCAGCTGTAGTTTCAACTGTGGGACAACAAGTACAGACAGAGGAGTGAGAGATCTCACTCTCTGACGATCTTTGGCAGTCCCAGTGTGTTTGTATCTCACAGCTGTTTGTACCTCACGGGTCACGCTTTGGACACGGACTTTCAGACAAACGTAGTTTATCCTCCGTGCATCGCACAGACAAATCAAAAGTTTCGGAAAGCCCTGATTACGTACTTCACAGAGGAAAAAAAAGTAAGTTGCTACGTTTTACCGTTCGCGAGTAAATTGATCATTTGTAAAACATGTGCGCGTGCATCGGCACCGATGCACGCGGGCATATATTGAATACCCTCTCACATTACAAATCAATCATCCTAAATTTCACCATATCTACATGGTACTTACATTTCTTTCTTTTTGCACAATCTTGAGTGTTTCTATCCATGCCAGATGTGACAGGTAAATTTCTCCTTTGTGAGATCAATAAAGTATATATTATCTTATCTTATCTTATCCTACTCATAGGTTCAGAATGTCATACACAGTACACTTTGATACATAAACAATACTTTACATTTTGAGCTTTAAATTAGGAAGAATACAATTGTTCATGCAGATAAGCTGTGGTCCACATGACCTACAGACAGGAGCATTTAAGCTAGTGGCTTAAAGTCCGGGTTTGCCAAAAGTGTGCACTCTGAAGACACGCTACCTGTAACAAACACAGTCCTTGTACCAGAAGTAGTTAAAAGCGGTGCTGCACTCTCCCTGATTCCCTGCCAGATATGCAGACGAAACCAGTTGGGACCATAATAGCTAAATAGACAAGACACAAATCTAAAACCAACACCTTTTTCACAAAGGCGTCCCAGATAGAAATCCTCATTTTACTCCATGTTTTGTCGTCAATGATTTGAGAATTATATATTATATAGAGTTCTAGAGTATATATAGAGTTCTGGCAACCCGGATCACATACTTTCTGATTGGTTAATAAATGGGGTTTAAGGTGCAGCGTGCATCCTCATGTACGCTCCATGGGACAGCGTGTTCAGGGACGGGCTCATCCCGTCACACATACACTAGAAAAAATGATAAAAGATAAAAAAAATGTTTTAAGCGTGCTGAGTTTTGATTTTTAATGGACAGGGATCCTGTTCCACACACTGGAGACTCACAGAGAAGGTGTTTGGGCCAAAAACACCTTCACTCACTGCTGCTTGGGTGGGCCTGCAGTTTGGTGCAAATCCATTCAAGAATAATTATGTCAAATAATAAAAATGAATGTATATGACACTGCCCCTGACCAGTTCTGTGTTCTCTCTTCCAGCGGTCCCCTCAGCACCTCAGAACGTCATCTCCATCGTGAACGAGACGTCCCTGCGTCTGGAGTGGAGTCCCCCTGTAGACACCGGTGGGCGGGCCGATGTAGTCTACAACATTATTTGTAAGAGCTGTGGAAGTGAGCGCACCGGCTGCACGCGCTGCGGAGACAACGTGCGCTTTGAGCCGCGGCAGCTGGGCCTGACCAGCAGCCAGGTGCACATCAGCGAGCTGCTCGCCCACACGCAGTACACCTTTGAGATCCAGGCCATGAACGGAGTGTCTGACCAGAGCACCTACTCGCCCCAGTACACCGCGGTCAACATCACCACCAACCAGGCCGGTACGTTCTGTCATGTGGGGCATGGGCCACAACTCAGGCTACTGTTTTTTACGGATCTACGGTAATTGGTGCAGTGTCCATGTGGCACAGTATTTACTGCTTTAATCTCTCCTCCAAAGCCAACTTTGTGAAATGTTGCAAAGTTTTAACTGTGGCCATACCTGCATGTGAAAGCCAGATCCCATCCGACCTGTGAAGCCAGGCAGGACAGGGCCTGGTTAGTAATGTGATGGGAGACCACCAGGAACACCACGTGCCACAGATGCTTGCGGCTGTAAAGTGCCAAACTGTGGTTGTGTCCTTAGGCAATATTTAAATCACATTAGATTGAGGCTGTGTGTGTGTGATAGGTTGGTGGTGGTCAATGGGGCTGATGGAACATACTGGTTGTCTCGCATTTGTCAGTGTGCCCCAGGGCAGCTGTGGCTATAATAGTAGTTTATCACCACTGTATGGAGTGAAAGAATGATGCTATAAGTGAAGCATCTTTGAGTGTCCAAAAAGGCGCTATACAAAGCCAAGGTATTATTATTATCAACTTTGGATACATATAAAATATTGCACCTTTGTAATTTAAAGCCCCTGTCATTTAACTAAAGCAAAACAATGGGAGCTACACTAGGACCTACAATGAACGAGTTTGACATCTCTGCAATCGCACTTTAGTTGTTTTGAGTTCAGGTGGTTAGAAAAGTGTATACATTTTGTAGTGAGGGGTTTTACAACCTTAAAACACTGTTACTGAGCTGTTACTTGAAGGATTTCACTTATTTTAGGGTTAGGGTTACACACACTAAGGTCTCATCATCTTTTTTTTTTATTGAAAATGTGTTATGAGCTTATCTGTCTTTTTGTAGATATGTATTTTTACCCAACGTTGTTTTTTTTTTTTTTTGCTTGGTCAAATATTATTTTCCTTAATGTACGAAATTAATTTTGTATGATGGTGTGGTAAGACCAGGCAAGTATTTTTTCAAGTGGCCCCTTTTATTTAGCTTGAGTTTTAGAATTTGTTGACCTAAAAGACCAAAAGTAATAAACTGAACCATATTTTTATTCTGTTATTCCTCCATTAGTTCAGAGAGGCCTGGTCCAAGCTTTGATATTTGTCATGGCTCTCGTTATGCGTGAGGTCACTGGGATTCTGTGTCACGTGGAGGTGAATGAAGGACTCAAAACTGCATGAATGCCAAAATAAAGCTTTTAATAAAACAAACAAAAAACAAACAAAGCACAGGGTACATATAGACACAGACACAAGTGAAACACATTAGGGCGGGGCACACAATCAAGACTGGGGAACAAGACAGGAAGCAAAACTAAAACCAAAGCACAGGGAACTGATATCAATATAAAACCAAAATACAAAATTAAAATCCACACCATGACATCCTGGTGCTGAAAGCGCAGTGGTATCCAACTATGGAACACGTGTTTGTGTGTGTGTTTGTGTGGTCTGATAACTGTGTGTGCTTGTGGCAGCTCCGTCGGCGGTGACCATCATTCACCAGGTGAGCCGCTCCCTCTCCTCCATCACCCTGTCCTGGTCTCAACCTGATAAACCCAACGGAGTCATCCTGGACTACGAGCTGCAGTACTACGAGAAGGTACACACACATTCTCACATAACATAAAAAGAATCATAAATACACCTAAGGAGATATGAGCAGAGGCATTCAGGGCAGGACAGAGGCAAATTCATTCCAACACCTGCCATTTGTACTTTAAACTAAATATGTCCCATCAATTCTGAACCAGATATTTGTTAAGAGTTTTCCCACTCAAACTGTTCCTCTGGTCCTGACAGAGCCAGGCGGAGTGGAATTCGTCTGTGAGCCACAGTCAGACCAACACTGCTCTGATCAGAGGCCTGAGGCCTGGGACCATCTACGTGTTCCAGGTGCGGGCGCGTACCGTGGCCGGCTTCGGGCGCTTTAGTGGGAAGATGTACTTCCAGACCATGACTGAAGGTGAGCACCGCCCATAGTTCAGATCACATGTCAAATCTACGACGAATCTGAAAATAAGACAATGGTTAACTATCCATCGATCCATTTTCTTCTGCTTCATCCATTGCCGAGTCACCGGGGCAGCAGTCTAAGCAGAGATGCCCAGACTTCCCTGTACACACACTCTTACTTTAGCTCATCCGGGGGGACCCCAAGGCATTCCCAGGCCAGCTGAGAGACATAGTCCCTCCAGCGTGTCCTGGGTCTTCCCCGGGGCCTCCTCCCTGTGGGACGTGCCCGGAACAGCTTCCAGGAGGCATCCTTAACAGATGCCTGAGCCACCTCAACTGGTTCCTCTTGACTTGGAGAAGCAGCGGCTCTTGTCCGAGCTCCTCCCGTGTGACTGAGCTCCTCACGCTATCTCTAAGATAAGATAAGATAAAATAAGATGTACTTTATTAATCTCACACAGGATTAATTTACATGTTTGGCACGGATAGAAACACTCAGATTGTGCAGAAAGTAAAAAATGTGCAAAAAGGACAGGACATATTATGTACAAAAGTGGCAATTAGAAAGTGGCAATGAGAAGAAGTGTCAATAGTGCAGGTTTTATCAGTCTTAGTGCAGTGACTTAAAGTGACTTATTGTACAGTCTGACAGTGGTGGGGATAAAGGCCCTTTATCCCCGCTCCTTCTTACACTATGTATTCTGTCTTCGGCCAGTAAAGACAGAAATGTTTGGACCTCATCAACAGACCACGGTGTGGACTTTTGCGGCTTGCTGGATTCCATTTCTCGAAGCGGAGTGCAGTGCGTATGCTCACAGGGCAGTTTTAAAAATGGCGGGGTTGAATCTTGTCTCTCAATACGGTCAGACGTCGCACTTATGACGCTACCAGTGACGACAGTCGTTGGCCAATAGTGTGAGAGAGCCGTTGGCCAATAGCGTAGGCAGTCCGCTTACGTCACGAGAGTGTAGCTTTTTGGAACCGCTCCCGAGGCGGTCCGAAAATAGAACACAATACCTAGCTTCAACGCTAGTGGAAATGCAAAAGTAACGCGCCGTGTCGTGTAGAGTGGTGTAGTGCCGGTGCTGTGGAAAAGCGCTATAAGGAACCGTCCAGCCACTCTGCAGAGGAAGCTCATTTCGACCGCTTGTACCCGCAATCTCGTTCTTTCAGTCATTACCCAAAGCTCATGAACATAGGTGAGGGAGGGAACGAAGATTGACCGGTATATCAAGAGCTTTGCCTTTCGGCTCAGCTCCCTCTTTACCACAATGGTCAAATACAGCGACCGCATCACTGCGCACGCTGCACCGATCCGCCTGTCAATCTCACGCTCCATCCTTCCCTCACTCGTGAACAAGACCCTGAGATACTTGCACCATGGCCTCAAATTTGGAGGTGCTGATTCTCATCCCAGCCGCTTCACACTCGAGTGCAAACCGTCCTAGTGCATGTTGCAAGTCCTGGTTCGTTGGAATCAACCGGACAACATCGTCCGCAAAGAGCAGAGATGAAATCCTGTGGTCTCCAAACCCCCTCCGGCCCCTGGCTGCGCCTAGAATAGCTAACTAGTTCTGTAGTAATTACTATCTAACGCAACCCCCCATTGAGGTTGTAGACCCAGAACTAAAGCTGTAGACCCATGACTGAGGCTGTAGATCCAGGACTCAGGCTGTAGATCCAGGACTGAGGCTGTAGATCAGTGACTGAGGCTGTTGATCCAGGGCCGGAGCTGTTGATCCCGGACTGAGGCTGCAGGTCAATAGATTTCTGTCTCAGGGACATGTTGCTGATGCAGACAGGACAGCCCAATAACCTCCTTGTAGAGTTGAACCTGCAGTGAACTTGAAATCTGTGTGTTGTCCAGAGGAGTACGCATCCAGCCTCCAGGACAAGCTTCCTCTGATCGTGGGCTCCTCTGCGGCCGGCCTGGTCTTCATCATTGCAGTCACCGTCATCATCATTGCGTGCTGCAGGTTTGTGCAGCTTCTCACTAAAAGATCAGTGGATGACTGTTGTGGAGTGAAGACGGAACTGTATGTGATTCTATCATATTATTAAATGGAAAAGTGTGGCTAACCCTAACCCCAAAAAATTCAGCCTCCCTGAGTCTCCAACTCCTATAAACTCATATATTCAGGCCTAATTACTCACTTACCCTACCCCTACACCTCTTTCCCACCCACAGTGGTTGGTTTTAAAACATTGCTTTACATTTAGGGAAATTGTCATGATGGTAGGTAAATATCCCAAGGCACACTCTGACACTCACTTGGTTCTTGCTGAAGAGAAGAGCTGGCCCACAGCATGATGCTACCACCCCCAGGTCTGATATATACGGAGAAGGTGCACTGAGGGTGATGAACAGTGTTGTTTTTCCGCCACATAACGTTTTACATTTAGACCAAAAGTTACATTCTGGTCTCATCGGACTGAAGCAGCTTTGGTCTTGGTTAGCTTCTTGTGGCTTTATTTAAACACTGTCTTCTTACCACTCGTAAATAAAGGCCGGATCTGTGTAGTGCAGTGTTCCGCAAACCTTTTTGAGGCATGGCACATCTTTGTCATTGAAAACGATCACCTCCTGTAACAATCACCTCTCATCAAAGTGTATTATATAGATAGACAATCAAACAAGCGCAAAACAGTCTTTCTGATCTTCTCACATTATTTTTACCTATCAGGTGACATTGGATAATTTCCAAAGGCACCAAACTCCATCTCAAGGCACACTAACAAGCCACGGCCAAGCAGTGTTGTCCTTCTTTAAGTATGAGTCAGTTGTGCCATAATCTTTCCTTTCCCAGATGATGGACAGAAGAGTGCGCTGGTAGGTGCTCAAAGCTTGATCTCAATTTATGAATCAGACACCTTTATTTATCCCACCAGGGGCAATCCATTTGAGCAACACCTAAAAAATCAAATTCAAGATGAAATAATCTAAGAAAAAGTCTATTCTAACTATGCTTCAAACTGATGGATTCCATGAACCACACCCCCGAGAACGGGTGTAACTTTACAGAGATTACATCACACTTAATACACACTGTAGGTACTTAGGTAGTCACTTAAGTTTAGATACATGCTTGACGTCAGTCGTCAGGCCACTTCCACAGTCATTTGCTCTCAGAAGAAAGGGGACTCAATAAAGTTTGTTCTTACTTATTTTTTGCCTCAGTGTTAGCAATGTTCCCCATTCTATATCTTGACCTTTTACATTTCACTAACAAGTAATGCTTCAGACTGTGACAGTGACAGTGTGGGTCTGTGGTAAACCAGTATTTCATCAGTATTTCTGTTTGTACAGAAGGAGCTCAGAGCGCCCTCAGTCTGAGTACACGGACAAACTGCAGCACTACACGAGTGGCCACAGTAAGTCTACATACACACACATACACATGTATTCTCATACACACATACTGTATAGACACATATACACATCCTGTATACGCCCATATACACACATCCTGTGTACTCACATACAGACACACACACACACACTGCAGTCCCAGAGATTAAAACACGTCTCTTCATGATAATGTTCCATCTCTCAGGGCTCAGCACTGATTTGTCAACACTTACCACACTTGCCCCTTCAGTCTCACTCCTCCAGGTCATTTTTAAGGACCAAAATGTCATCAGTACAATGAAAAGTAGAATAAAGGTTATGCTGCCTGGCTTCGGTCACACTGGAGCTGTAAAGCCTGTGTGTGAAGACCTGTGTGTGACAGCAGGTGTGAAGACCTGTGTGTGACAGCGGGTGTGAAGACCTGTGTGTGTGACAGCAGGTGTGAAGACCTGTGTGTGAGAGTGGGTGTGAGGACCTGTGTGTGAGAGCGGGTGTGAAGGCCTGTGTGTGAGAGCGGGTGTGAAGGCCTGTGTGTGAGAGCGGGTGTGAAGACCTGTGTGTGAGAGCGTGTGTGAAGTCCTGTGTGTGAGAGCGGGTGCGAAGACCTGTGTGTGAAAGCGGGTGTGAAGACCTGTGAGGGCGGGTGTGAAGACTTGTGTGTGACAGCAGGTGTGAAGACCTGTGTGTAACAGTAGGTGTGAAGACCTGTGTGTGAGGACCTGTGTTTGAGGACATGTGTGTGAGGAGCAGTGTGTGAGAAAACCTGGTCTGTCGCTCTCTCTGCTTTGTCCACATGAAGCGTCTCCCGGGATGAAGATCTACATTGACCCTTTCACCTACGAGGACCCCAACGAGGCGGTCCGGGAGTTTGCCAAAGAGATTGAAATTGCCTGTGTGAAGATCGAGCAGGTCATTGGAGCAGGTATGAGCCTCTGTCTCCCAGAGGTCATCGTACTCTCTGTCTGTGTATGTGTGTTTGTGTGGTGGTATTGTACTAGGAGTGTGACAATATATCAATGTGGTGATGTATCGGGATACTTTCTCACGCAATCGATTATTGATATGCTTTTGCTTTTCTCAAGAAATTGGGGGCCAGTGGTCCGCTGTGATTGTGGTCCCAAAACAAATTCTCTTCCTTGTTGCACAAAAACTCAATCTAAAATCAAATTACACGACAGCACAAACCAGCGCTACTTTTTCTTCAAAAGGACGTGTAACCCAATTCACTGCATGGACATGGATTGAATTTTCGTAATTAATACAAAATAAAGTGAGGTAATCAAGCTTTAATGTTAGACATGAACCAGGACTGATGCCGTGGAACAAAGATGGACTCCCCAGGAAAACAGGAGCCTTCTCAGAAAATACAGGGATCAAGAGTTCCGAGCTTCCAGCTCGACCGCACGGCATTGTGGGTAGTTTTCTCATAAAAGTGGGCATGAAATCATGCTCTCCTTTAAGATTACCTGTTGCGAGCGTGATCTGTCTCTCTTTTTTCCAGCCCATCGATTGTTTTAATCGCCACAAAAATCACCAATTTCAGACAATTAGAAGGTAAGGTAAAGATTTTTTCATGTAACAAAAAAGCAATGCATTTTTTTTCTTGTGGTTTTAGATATAAACACAACCGACTGACTATAGAGCTACACGCAGTTTATGCTACTTACGAGGAGCAAATGCTTACACGCGAGCTTTATAAACTTGCCCAAAGCTGTACTTTGGACATATTTGTCTGGTGTGGAGCTTCTGAATGTAGAGAAGGCCAAATACCTGGGGCACTTAATCAGGAGTGACCTCAGTGAAGACGATGACATTCAGAGGCAGTACTGTTAGCTGTATGGACAGGCTAACGCTTAAGCACGGAGATTTCACATGTGTACAAATAAAGTGAAAATAACTTTGTTTAAAGCGTACTGCACACCTCTCTATACTGCCAGCTCACTGTTTGTTCTTAATAATGTCCCCACTCTGAATGCTCTGATCAGAAATGTTATTCATCGTCATAAGCTACATGTAGCTCTATAGTCAGTCGGTTGTGTTTATATCTAAAACCACAAGTTACATGGAAAAATCTTTACCTTACCTTCTAAATGTCTGAAATTGGGGATTTTTGTAGCGATTAAAACAATCGATGGCCTGGAAAAAAGAGAGACAGATCACGCTCGCAACAGGTAATCTAAAAGGAGAGCGCGATTTCATGCCCACTTTTTTGAGAAGACTACCCACAATGCCGTGCGGTCGAGCCGGAAGCTCGGAACTCTTGATCCCTGCATTCCCCCCAAAACAACAGGGACATAACCCCGTTCTGTTGATGATGTCTGTGACTCTGAAGCTTGTGCCTCATGAATACCATCTCCACATTGCTGTTGTTTGTGCTCAGGGGAGTTCGGGGAGGTGTGCAGTGGGAACCTCCGGCAGCCTGGGAAGAGGGAGATTCTCGTGGCTATCAAGACCCTGAAGACGGGCTACACTGAGCGGCAGAGGAGGGACTTCCTAAGCGAGGCGTCAATCATGGGCCAGTTTGACCACCCCAACATCATCCACCTGGAGGGTGTGGTCACCAAGAGCAGCCCCGTCATGATCATCACAGAGTTCATGGAGAACGGCTCCCTGGATTCCTTCCTCAGGGTCAGCTCTGGGGCCACATCTTTGCCTCCTAATGCACTACAAATTTACAATAGATAATAGTATATCCACAAGATGATATGTGCCTACATCTAAAACAACTTTCTTGTGCATTAGGTTAACGTTTGGAAATGTTTGGAAATAATTAAAACTATTTAAAATGCAAACAAAGCTATACATATAGGAAAGAGAGAGGACCCTGTTATGGCCGAAATTTCAATAATCAGAGGCCAACAAGTGTCTTTGTGTGTTTCATTAAAGTAATGAAATACATACTTGATAATTGCATTAAGAGAATCCAAGCTGTGGAGAAGAGCTCAGCCTAACCTCTGCTGAAGGCCCGTTAAACCCCAGTCTGCAGTTTTCCCAGACTGGGGAAGGGTGGCTACCGAGGTGCAAGTTCTCTTCTGATTTTTTTATTTCACCTATATTTAACCAGGAAAGTCCCATTGAGATTAAGAACCTCTTTTTCAAGGGAGTCCTGGACAAAAGTTACATACATACAGCCCTCCCCCCACACAAACCTGGTTTCTTTTCAGGGAAATTGTGCCAGTGTGTCTGGATGAACACAAAGACTCTCTGTTAAATTTAAGTAGAATATTTTTTCCATTTCTTATGTTATTATTGTAATTAGTAGTCATTTTTTACTACACCGAGTGTGTGCCTGTGTGTGTGAGGGTGTATGTGTGTGTGTGTGTGTGCGTGTGTGTGCGCCTGTGTCTGTGTAGTGTTGTACTAATGTGAATGTCAAGTCAGTAAATGATGGGCAGTATATCAAAGCTGAAATACCTAACTCAAATCACAAAAACACATTTATATAGTTTAACGCTCTCAAAACAGTTTTCTTCCATCCCTAGGGTTCACATGTATGTATTTTCGGCCTGTTCCAACAGTAAACATACACACACATATTCACATAACATTAACATTGACCTTTAAAAGACTCTTTAATTTAACAACATTAAACAGGCCATCTCCACAATTCAGATTCTCACACTGGAATGGGGCTGTCTCTTGTGTGGCCTATAACATGTTTCTGTCTGCAGCAAAATGACGGTCAGTTCACGGTCATCCAGCTGGTGGGCATGCTGCGGGGGATGGCCGCCGGAATGAAGTATCTGTGTGAGATGAACTATGTGCACCGAGACCTGGCGGCGCGCAACATCCTGGTTAACAGCAACCTGGTGTGCAAGGTGTCTGACTTCGGCCTGTCCCGCTTCCTGGAGGAAGACACCTCGGACCCCACCTACACTAGTGCCCTGGTGGGTCTGTGCCCGAGCCACTCTGTAGGGAGGGGCCAGGGCACTCATATCTGCTCCCTTCACAGACCCAGTACAACTATGGTAGGCAAGGCTGGGGCTGCCCAACCCTTGATTTAGTACTGTGGTCGGCAAGGCTGGGGCTACCCAACCCTTGATGTAGACTGAGGCTGTAGATCCAGGACTGAAGTTGTAAATGCAGGACTGAGGCTGTGCAGGTGGCCCCCACACTGGGCGGGTCAATCAATCAATCACATTTTATTTATAAAGCGCTTTTCATACAAAAAGTGTAACACAAGTTTGGGTGTGGTGCTGCCTGTGAGTTTGGGTTAGGAGAGACCAGTCCACAGGTGCAGATAAAAGAGGCCAGGTTCAGGGGTCCTATCCTCACGCCATGTATTGTGTTAGGGCCAGTGTTCCCTCTAAGAACAGAAAACTCTGTCCTGCGAACAAAATAAAAATCCAGCGTCCTGTGTTGCCAGCTTAAACGACATGGCCGCGTATTACTACAGTGTATGGACCAAGGTGGATCTGCATGCATCGGCTTCATTCTCTGACCAGAAAAATTCAGAGCTGAAAGCTCTCCCTTGGAGCTACACACACACACCTTACGCGCACACATTCCTGCTCTTTGCCCAAATTATTGTTGTTAGCACTTATCTTTTCACTGATATTACGAAGTAACTTTGTTGGTAAGACCAGAGCCCCCCTCAGTTCAGCAGAGTCGCCTATTGCTGAGTAAAGTTAAGTTGGTTTTGTAGCAATATGTGTCACGTGGATGAAAAACAAGGAGACCCAAAATGTAAAAACTGCAAAATGATAGATTTAATAAAAAGTAATGCAAATCAAGACCTACCAAAAACACAGGGACCGAGGACAGAACTAAAACAGACAAGGAATGACAATGACGGAACAGGGAGTGAAGGAACACACAGTACTAAATACAAGACTAACGGGACACAGGTGAGACACATGAGGGCAGGGCAGGTAATCAAACAGGAAGTACAACCAAATGAGACACAGGGATTAAACAAACTACAAACTAAAACAGGAAATAAATATAAACAATGACAATATGACTATTGTTAAACGGCATCATAACACAAAACACAATGACAATGACTATCATTATTAAGATAATAATAGTCATTGATCTGTGTGTTTTGTGTTATTTTGCCATTTGACTAAAAAGAACAATGTATATTATTTATTCATTAAGACTCTAATTAGTGTAGATTATAAATATGAATAGGCTAAATCCTCTTTGAATAATTTGTTTTTTTTAGTGCAACTCACCAAATATATTCCTAAATCTACATCAATTCACTGGATATAAAAGACTCAGCCTTTGAATCAGGATGCATCATGATCAGGTGAATATTGAACCGAATCATCGTTGGTAAAGTATGTGAATAGTTTTCAACAGTGATCTCTTGCTCAGAGTGCTCCACGTGCCTCTCAGAGGGTTTGTGTTTTTGCTCAGACCCATGAAAAATTAGAGGGAACACTGGTTAGGGCCCATATCTCACCAGCGAGGGAGTCACACAAACGTTTGGAGCCAAGTACGATTATTTCAGTTATTTCCGGGTTGAGGAGCAGATAGTTGTGAGATCCTATTTAAAGGTACTGTATATAGGAGGATTTAGTTTTTCCGGGTGGATCATCAAGACTATTGGTCAATTATTCTGGTGATATGTGACGTAAGGTCGTAGTATGTGCTCAAACTAGACGGCGTACGTTGAAAGCCCAGGTTGAGCTTTCAACGGATGCTTCAGTTGCGAAGTTTCTACTCAACAGGTAAAGTTTGGCATTCTGTTTGGAGAAATCCATTGCAAATCACTTCCAGTAAAGGTTATCTACGTCAAAATTGTCTGACATAGTGGAAAAGTGGAAATCTTTTTGGAAAGTGAGCTTGTGTGAGCGATGCTGCCAGTCACTCGAAAACGGAGTGTGCACGAGGAGAACTGGGAGGTAGTAGGTAAAGGTAAAGGTGCACTTTATTGATCCCCGTAGGGCAATTCAATCCTCTGCATTTGACCCATCCTGATGCCACTAAGGCTTACGTCAGGAGCAGTGGTCGCCATAGTAACAGCGCCCGGGAACCCATCTCCAGATGTTGATGCTCGGCTTGGTCAGGACTACTGGAGCTGGAGGATTTTAACCTAGGTGTTGTGCATTTTTTAGAAAAAGTGGAGAGGCCAGTTCTTTCCCAAAACTCGGGGAAATCCTCCTGTACTTTAAAGGACCAACACGGAGATATATGAAGCATCGTGTCTGTTTTGTAAGGGATTTCTTTATGTCGGCCAAAGCTGTTTTGATTCACACACACTTTTGGCTTCACTGGGTCTTTGCGTGTCATAGATTCTAAGTGTGGGCTCATTGTGTGTCTGTGTATGTGTGTGCCTGTCAGGGGGGTAAGATACCCATCCGTTGGACTGCCCCCGAGGCCATCCAGTACCGGAAGTTTACATCGTCCAGTGACTGCTGGAGCTACGGCATCGTCATGTGGGAGGTCATGTCCTACGGAGAGCGGCCCTACTGGGACATGAGCAACCAGGACGTGAGTGTACACTGTGTCCAGTCCAGATATGGAGATGACCAAGGAGGGCTTTTACAAAGCACTGATAAAAACTGATAAAACAAGACTCACATAAACTTGTGAGCATCAATGGATAGATAAAAACCCGTCCGTTTGGAACAGGCATTTTTACTAGGTTTTAAACTACGTTGATCAATATTATTAATTTGAGGCTCTTGTTTTGTAACATTGATTTTTACCTTCTAGTCATGTTACAACACTGTTCCTCATCAGCCACAGATGTTGAGTTGTTCTTGGATCTGTCCACCCTAATATTGAAAACTTCTGGCACAAGAAGTTCCCGACCTATCTTTCTCTGGTCTCTCTCTTCTCCTTCTCTAGTTTCCCTCTATGGTCCTTCTATGGTCCCTCTCTGATCCCTCTCTGGTCTCTCTCTGGTCTCTCTCTGGTCTCTCTCTCTCTGGTCTTTCTTCCCGGTTTCTCTGGTCTCTCGTCTGTGAGAGATATGAAATATGTGGGTTTAATCTTATTTTGTTAAGTTACATTTCAATCCATTTATAGCTGCTAATCTCTCAAATGTGGACTCCTTTAAAAAATACTTTGTAAAAGTCATGCTCTTGTGCAGGTCATTAATGCCATAGAGCAGGACTACCGGTTGCCACCCCCTATGGACTGCCCCAGTGCACTGCACCAGCTGATGCTGGACTGCTGGCAGAAAGACCGCAACAACAGACCAAAGTTCAGCCAGATTGTCAACACTCTGGACAAGATGATCCGTAACCCGGGGACCCTGAAGGCCATGACGCCGCTGTCCTCCAGGTACTACTGCACTAGTGTGGAGATGTTTAGCCCAATGGTATCAGGGGTGTCCAAAGACACTTTTCCAGTCAGCATTTGGAATTTTGGTGACACAGTTAATAAAAAATGTCAGGTTCATATATGGTTGTACCTTATAAGAGATATAATATGTCTGTACTGGCTGAAATGAAGTTGGCTGGATGACACTGTGAAAGATTCCTTTGTGTTTGTAGCAGAGGGGCAAAACTGATCTAGACAACGCTGCAACATATTAATGATAGTGATAGGATTAATAATAGTGCTGTTAAACGAAAAAAAAAAATGCAATTAAATCTTGATTAACCGCAATTAGTCACCCTTTTCCCTGTTCTACATGTTCCTTGATTTGGTTTGAACAATTTAAATCTAATCTAAACTTTGATTAATCTTGTCCCCTCCATAAAGAAAGCATTTGGATTGTCTATAATCGGCTACCCAATCTCTGCATGCTTTTGTAATAAAGGCTACTCCCTTGTTTATGTTTTCAAGTCAGTTTTGTGTGTTTTCTTACAGTGTATATGACTATCACTGTACACTGTAATAAGTGAATCAGACCAAACTTTGATGTAAAATATTTTAAGTAATTACTATATACTTCATTTTCCACTATTTTATATTTTTGGTTGACAAATAAGTACTGTATAAGAATTATCATAGCACCCTGTACAATACTGATTTTATTGCTTTAAGTGAAAGTACTTTAAATATTTCTTCTATAATCCCGGTGGTCCATTAATGACAAAACAAATATATTGTGTTGATTGAAAACAAAATGTGGCGAAGCAGTGATGCTACCCAGAATGCATTGCAGAGCAAAATATAAACTTCTTAAAAATTCTACATTTGACCATTCATTTTAAGAATGAATATAAAGCAAGTCCTAAAGCAAAATACTTGAGCAACATTTTGAAAAAACATAATTTGATCAAATAAGTCATTGTATTTATTTTTACCAACCGTGATCGACAAGGTCAAGCCAAACTAGCCCTATACTCCCTGGGTTCAAATCAGACATTAGATACTACAACATGGTCATGATGCTTGCTTAAAAACAAGTCCTAAACGTGATCACATTTACTCCCCAGCATGAGAGTTACAGAGTTCAAAAGCACAATGTAAGGATTACAAAAACTACCAAACTTTCTCCAGGTGGAAGAAAGTATCATTTTGAATGAACACAAAAATATTGAGTATATTGATCCTCTCCAAGTTAGTTTTGCTTTGAAAGGACACACACATTTTAAGTAAATCAATCACTTCAAAGTAATAGTTTTGTTTTCTTTCAAATTGAATTTATTCTTTATTACTTAATAAAGAGCTAAAGTTGATAGTACTCAAAAAGGCCGATGGAACCTCTTACAGATTTTTTTTTGTTTCTGATTAAAGCAACAATTTTTACAGTGTATATCAGGTGCAGTGGAAATAACTAGAGCTTCAACTTTTGGGTTGTGACATGAAAATAGTTGCTTGGTTGATTACTGATGGACCTCCTTCATGTTAAACAAGCAATTTAAAAAAGGTTACGTGGGTAAAATGGGTTTGCCTTAACGCAGGTAATCATGTGTATAACTAACAATGTTAATTGATGTTCATTAGAAAATCGCTTTTACTGTATATCTTCTTGTTGCCACATTAGAAATGTTGTTAACAGCTCTTCAAATCGGCCTTGGCCTCCCTTTTGTTCTGAATACTGTACATGTGTTTTCAAGAGCCCCTCGGCCTGAAGCCCTTCCCTTTGATGTGAACACTGTATGTGTTCTTTGCCTGTTCCTGTGCAGTGTGCATCTACCTCTGCTGGACCGCAGCACTCCAGACTTCTCTTCCTTCACCTCGGTGGACGAGTGGTTGGATGCCATCAAAATGGGCCAGTACAAGGAGAACTTTGCCAACGAGGGCTTCAGCAGCTTCAACACAGTCTCTCAGATGACCACAGAGTGAGTGTCCACAAGTGTCAGGGTCACTGTGTATGACCACAGAGTGAATCCCCACAAGTTAGAATCACAGTGTATTATCATAGAGTGAGTCCTGAAAAGTCAGGGTCACTGTGTATGACCCCATGTTGAGTCCCAACAAGTCAGGGGTCACTATTTATGGCCAAAGAGTGAGTACCCACAAGTCAGAATCACTGTGTCGGAGTCCCCATAAGGTTGTTTTTTTTTTTAGATATATTCTTTTAAATGAGGTATAACAGGCCATGGTAGCAAATACAAAGGGACTCCTACTCACTTAAAAATGCAAAATGGAGCCTCGGCGCTCTGGGCGACAGTGTGTGTGGTTAAACACACACACTGTCCAACACAAATAATGCTGTTGTTGTTTTTGTAGTGACATACTGCGAGTGGGCGTGACGCTGGCGGGCCATCAGAAGAAGATCCTGAACAGCATCCAGACCATGAGAGCCCAGATGAATCAGATCACATCTGTGGAGGTGTGAGAACCAGCTGAGACAGTCATCATGGGACAAGCCGAGTGTGGAAATGGAACCTATAGGTGACTGGTGGACCTCAAGACGGGCACGCTGCGGGACACAGGACTGAAAGTGGCCTCAGTTGTGCTGGAACAGTCTCTTTTGTAATGGACATAGAAACAGTTGTGACGTGCTGTTCCCTGTGCAGGGAGTGCACAGGCGGCCTGTTCGCAGGGTGCTGGGGAACGGAGCGGACGCTTTGGCACGGGTAGAGCCATAACATGATCCCTGCAAAATCCTACTTTGACAATCACAAACAGATTTAGATATTATTTTAAATCTAATGCATTTTAAAATTTGTATCTAAAGTATCTAAAAGGATCAGAAAAGAAAAGATGCCTTGTACACGATCAAAGCAAAAGTACTCATTTAAACCTGTCAGTTCACTTCACTTTGACATATTTGTATATCGTCCTAAATCACAACAGCAGTCATCTTGGAGGACTTTGCAAAGTTGTTGATTCCTCAAATCGTTTGAACACAGGTAATGCAAATAATAACAAACACATAGGAGGCATTGTTCCATTGGGAACGGATCACCACTTTTCTTTGAACCTCCTGAATCTGCAAGGAACAACTTAAAAACCCTGTGGGAAAAATGTGAGAAATCTCAGGGAGGCCCATATATCGAAAGGGATCCACTCCCATGGACGCCCAGGCAGTAGATCCAGGACTCTAATCACTTATTATCTTGAACATGTACTTATATTTCCCATTTAACAAAATATAATTTCAACAACACACGTGAAGAAAAGTTAAAACTGTGACACTTGTAGCCACAGATTTATTTTTACTTTTAATAAAATCCCAGTGCAACTCTGCTGGATCAATGATTCAGACAATGTCGACCTGATTCCCACCGTGCACTTCTTTCGTGCTTTTCCCATGTGTTAGTGACTGACCCGTGCCGGCGCCCAGGTAGGAGTGTGCCTTCTGAAGTTCCTTATGAGAGGGCCTCAGTCCACTCCGAGACCCGAGCCACACCCTGTTCTGAGGGCAAATATGATGTTGATGTTGGCACAAAAATAGTATTAAGCACAGTCGCACATGCTCAGAGGCTGGATGGGAGACGAGAGCATGAGAGGACCACACGTGGGACCAGACGCCAAAAAACAGGCAGATATTCATAATGACAAAAATGTAAAGTGAGAAACAAGAGTTGTAGGAACAGTATGAGCACTGCTGCAGCTGTCAAAAGCCGTGCATACACTGTAACATACAGCTGAAGAAAGCACCGCACTGAGGGGGACGAGCAGGATTGAGGACTACAGGAAGAGAGACCACATAGAAAAGAGAGTTCTCTGAACTATTGACTAATGTGCACAATCCACAAAAGCCCACACGCAACAATCTGCAAAACAGTGAGTGGCTACTGAAAGGTGAACTGTGTTATAGTAAGGGACCAGTGTGTTGGAGAATGGTGATCAGTTGAACACCCAGAATGTGGAGAGCCAGACAAAATGTGTGCAAGTACAAAAATGAGAGTAAACTGTAACAGGGTAGACACTTCCACTTCTACACATGTTCCTGCTGCTACTTCAACAATTTCACTGTAATCTTTCTTTTTTTGTTTACATCATGTCTTCATTGAGATCAGTGCTTCCCAAAGTGGGGTCCGAGTCTCCTGGGGGCCTCCGAGGCACTGAAGGGGTCCCCCAAAGGTTGTCCACACAACCAGCCAGTAGCATGTTATGCAATTCTACACATATTTTGATGTAATGCATTCTATTGTATTGTTATTGTCCATGCCATATTCCTCAGTATGAAGTGTGATTGGATAGTGAGGGCCCTGAGTTATCTTCCACCGGTAATAGGGGCTTTAGAAATTTGCCTCCCACACGCTAAAGTGTGAACTCTATGGTCAGAAAGTTTCCATTTTAAAGCTAATGTACCTAATTTTTATGTTAAATGCACCTAACTCTCTCAGTTAGATGTCCATGGCTCTCTTTCACAAGTACTACATGTGAACACAATATGGAGCTGACTCGATACACTGAGGTTACTCACAATGGGAAAAAGTGTGGTATGTCAGCTTTACAGAGGTCTGAATGTGCTTGGTTCACCCACACGTGCTTACGAGAGGATGGACACATTTAACTAAAACTCAAGATTTAAATTTTGCCTGATTTACACTTTTGCCTGTTTTGAAAAATGTGGTACTCTTTTAGAAGGTTGGACTTGACCTGCAGATAGGTAAAGTAATCTACAACATTAATACATCATTTATTTATTCAGAAGAAATCCAGGCCCTCACACATGTGAAAATAATGTCTATTTTTGTCAAATGGTGTGGTTCTGACTGGGTAAAATGCATAGATGAATGTGGATGTATGGATTTGAACACACAGGACTAAAATTTCTAAAAAAATAATTATATAAACCCATGTCACAACATTTGTCTTGGAAGATCAACCAATAGCATCAAATGGGTATACTGTACAATGCAAAGGTTTGGAACCAGAGTTACACAGACCACTAGAGGAACACAATGGTACTACATGAAGCACATGGACCCCTAGAGGAACACACAGGTATTACATCAGAAATACATTTCAAAACTTCTAAACATGAATACGTAGCTATAGGGGCTACTATGGCTTGTTATGAATACTATTTCTTAGGAAACAACCACATATGTTATTCTATTATAAACCTTGAACCCAGAACCCAATAATAATAATTATAATGATAATTGTTCAGACAGACATGCCTTTTTACTTTTGGTCAAGTTTTGGTTCAGTCTAATCATGTTGTCGATATAGTCCATATAAGGCCTGATATGTTCACATACCTCATAATATACTGTACACTCATATTTGACAGTGATTAGATTTACAAAGCCACCATATTGTTCTTGTGTGTCACAATTTTTTAGAGGTGCGTAAGTGTTCATACCCGGCCCTCAGGCTACAACCACTGCTCTCACGGTTGTGTTCGGGCTTTGTCTTGTTGTTGCTTTATTCAGCACAGGTTGATTTCTGATGCGTCTTCACTGTGTAGAGCAAATGAAGACCTTTAGTTATAGAACTCATGTTGGACCAAAATGCCACTGACGCCTCTCTGGTTCCAAGCCCTAGGATGAGTAAAGGCGTTTGTCAAAGTATGAATTCAAATTGGTTTCACTCCATGGATCCAAAATGATGTGCTTGTACATTAGCTTCGGACTGAGGGATCCCTTTCAGAACTCAGTATTGTCTTTATTTTCTTGTCACATTGAAACACATGTATTTCAGTGATCTCGCTGTTCTTTGCCGAAGCCGAGTCTGTGTGTTTTTACTGTCTGTGCTTTTTACGCGTTGTTCATTTTGCACAAATTGAGTGTTGCACATTTGTTGTGGACTTTTGATGAACTGGCGGCTGTCCCGGGACACAGTGGCCTGAGTGGACTTCCTCCCCCACCTCCACCTTTTCTACAGTTTTTGATAGTGTTTGATTTTGCTTTTTTACATAGAAGGAGCAAGTGCACAGCCAGAGAGACGTTCATGTACGAGTTTCCTCTGACTAAAGTCCATGATGCTAGCCCTCAACAGTCATGTCACTGTTTTCTTTAATGTCAAAGTTGTCTAGCCCCCAAACCAGAACCCTCTCTAACTGTAAGGGCCGCAGTGAAAGAGAAACCAAAAGCAACTAATACAAAGAGTCATTTATCATCTCTTTTGTCTATGGTATTTAGTAAAAAATATGAAAGAGAAAAGGATATTTCTCTGAATAATTTTGCATCACGACGTGGATCTTGATCTGTCTGTTATGTGTTACTGATGATGTCATTCTCCTCTCATGTTCATATTTTGGGGATATTAGTAAAATCGATCACACTAAGGCCCAGGAATTTACAAGAAAAATGGACAGTAGATTCGTGCTTTTCTATCTGGGCGTGTAAACTCTTAAAGACATCATTTAATCTGACATTTGTGGATCTCAATTGATCTCGCTCCGTGCTTTAAGAGGAATGAGACTGCACACCTGGCAGTCTTGGTTTACAAGTGACAGAAGGGAGAAACCAATAGCCCTGTTTCCACCAGCCCTACTCTACTCTTCTCCACTCTATTTGGCCCTACTCTACACTACTTGGTTGTATTACCATTATGTTCCGGTATCAAGTGCCGTATCCTACCAAGGAGAAGTAGGAGCAGAGTAGAGTTGAGGCAGAGTAAAGAAGGCTGGTGGAACAGGAATAATGAGATAAACCCTGGATTGGGCACTTCCACACTGTTTCCTGCTCCAGTTTTAGGGATTTTAAATTGTCCAAATGATTTCAAACAGACAAATGAGCAGAAGAAATTAGTGGATCAATTGCTCCTCACGCCATCTTTAATATTTTGGTGCAGAGAGACCCCGCCTCTCGCTCTGATTGGAGCAGGCCAGCACACCTCCGTGTTCAGGCCACTTTCAGGCGATCTCGGAAATTCCTTCACTGTATGTTTATTTTGCAGTAAACTCATCAGTGTGCTATAAAAACCATCCCTCTCACTTTGCCGCTGTTCTTTCATCCGATCACAATCTGATACATGTCACAATGACGCGAACTCTGAAAGTCTGGGACCATTGTCCCAGCCCGAGTTTCTGACTTTAGCTAGCCTGGCATTAGCCATCCATACACTCCGCTCAATCATCATTTCCCTGCATGTAACGTCTGGGTCTGGTCCCCATATTAGCGATTACAATCGGTTGAATTTCGACCGACAAATCAGTGAGTGTGGGAGGTGGGTGTTGAGGTTAGTTGTGGGTGATGTCAAGAGTTTGCATCGAACGGGCAGGTTGTAGTTTGGCAATGGCAAAAAATGCGATAGTAAAGTATTCTGGTCTGGTTCTATCAAGAAATTGAAGCCGGAGCAAGAGGAATGTTTAGCAAATGTAATCGCTGGAAAAAATCGTGGCGCTACTCCCCACGGGCTCCGTTAGCAGCAAAGGAGATGGCTAGGCTAAATGCTAAATGCTAACAACTCACTCGGGTGCATCACATACGTCACGGTAAACTCAGATCCAATCGTTTCAATCTGCAAAAGGATTTAACCCCTCCCACCTGTTCACGGAGCTCAATGGAGTGACTCCAGACCTCAGTATGAAATGTAATTTGTACTATGGTGTGTTACGACCAGGCTAGACTTTAGCAGCATTAATTCCAATTTTTCACAGTGAGAAGATGAACTTCTGAGTTTTCGAGATTGCATGAAAGCACATCAGTCCTGCCCATAGACAGTAAATATTTGCTGCAATGCT